CTCTCGTTGCATGTATGGAATTGGCAATGATACAAAGGAACAAGTAGAAGTGATAGCAACAACAGAAGTAATGCAGCCAAAAATAAGTTGAATTTCTGGCATCAAGAAAATATCAGCCATCTTTGTAACATTTACTGCTTTACAAGATTACCTTAGTGGTATGTACTACTTTTATTAGAGACAGTTGCTTGCCACTTAAAGCCAGTTGTTTCTATTTTACAACAGAGTATTCTGTAATCTACAGCTACCTACAGCTTGCTCACAAAATTTTCAAGTAATTAACATGCTAAATTCTGGTCATATAACATCGCTATTAATTGATATATTAAAGTAGGATTTAATGCTACAAATAAACTTTTCATCACTGCTTATAACTAAAGTATTATAGATTTCATGAGGGGTTAATAACTATATTGCAGGATGCTTGCTACCTATTTTACTTATCTGAAACCCCAAGAAAGGATGTAATAAAAAGTAAAGAATGAGAACAGAATATCTGCTGAACAAAATAAAGGGCTGTTCAACATTTCTTGAAGATGAGTAGATGTTGTAGATATATGAGGTAGGCTTCAGGATAAACTTTCTAAAATGTTGATAAAACCAAGGATTACACAGTAGTAGTAATAATATTGAAAGTTTTGAAGTAAAGGACTCAAAATATAAGTTAGTATATTTAATGTGATATAGAACCTGTCCCCATAGCAATGAATAAAGATAATGAATATACTGATGGGCCTATTCTGCCTATTAATTTATATCTTTAATCAAACAAATTCTAACTAACATCTACAAAAAAAAAAAAAAAAAAAAAAAAAAAAAAGATTGATTTACTGTACAGACAAAATAAGCAAGTATGGTATAGATAGTAAAGCGATTATGCCCAGTTTATGCTGTGTCTAAAGTTACTTTGTATTCAGTATCACGGAATTGGAAATAATTATTTAGAATTTACTTCCTACTTGACAAAAGGTAAGGTTTGGTGTGAATGCATAAAAATTGAAAGACAAGTACTTTTAAAAAAAAAAATAAAAATTTCATATTGGAAATGCACAAAGAAATTAGCTCTGTTCAAGATAGGAAGATTGTATTAATCCAATCATCTAAATAGGAAAATCCTGCTTGTCTACTTTTAAAATAATTGAGATAAATAGTTAAAATATAACTTGAAGACTGATTTCTTGCATGAATGCTAAATACACAGCTATCTCAGCCATCAAATGAGCCCTGCTAAGTACAAATACATTCTTTTCATCAAACTGAAAATTCCTACCAATTGTTTGTTTCTATTGAATTGTTCCAGTTACTAATTTTCATTTAATATATAACTTATATATTCTCAGATTAAGTTACTTTGAAATAGTGATCAATGAAATAACATTATTCTCATTTAAAACTGAACAACTGTAAGAGTTATGCTTGTTTTGTATACTATAAAAAAATTTTAAATGATTCAATATATTTTAGCTAAAATAAAACAAACCTAACTGAATATACTCTTTTCACCATTTTTTTTATTAAAAGCAACAACCTGGTTTAAGTTTATGAAATGGAAATTTCCAGGAAAGCTGCTTTTGCTATGAAAGGAAAAAGATAAATACAGAAACTGTACACAGTTTAATCATTATCCATTCTGTTCTAACAAATTTAAAAAATTATATTTGCTGAAAAAATATTAAAAATTCAGTTTTATTTTTTTGAAATAAACAGTATCAATTACCCTACTTGCCAACCAATGCAGAGAGAAGTTTAAAAATCCAAATATTACAATGTATTGAATGTGCTGGTATTATGATTTGGAGGTTCAATTATTATGATTTGATCTATACCAATGATTCCAAACATGGGGCACATTCCCCACCAGTGGGGCATGCATAGGATGTGCACCCTTCAACTTACTATACCAACAGAAGAAGAGGGCAATTCGAGAATAAGTTATTAACAGTGAATTATTTTCTAGTGAGTTTGAATGAGAGTGTTAATGTGTGTTAATACATATACAGTATGTATACATAAAAATATTTTGTGTGTATGCATGTACACTTGCATGTCATGGTCAACAAAAGAGAGGGCGTGATGCATGTTGCTGAAAGAGCCCATTTTTTGTTGGCCAATCAGCGCATGTAAGCATTTAGTTTGTTTCCTTCATGTTAATTACAGTAAAATTTTGTGTATGTAACAATTAAATATTATGGATTGGGTCGCACCAGAACAGAATTTCAGAAATACCAAAGTAGGGCACAGCTCAAAATCAGTTGGGAACAACTGATCTATACAATAAGGTGAAGATGAGCTGCAACAGGTATGTTTTACAAACAGGTTTTTAATTGTCTTAAGGTTGGCAAATTGGGTAACAAAAGTTTAGGAAGGGGGGAAAAATAGTATGCTCAATTTCATGGCATTATTTTCATCTATGAGTAAGCATTAATAGTTTAAAAAAATAAAAATATGAAAAATGATGCTGAAATAAAATATTTACAAAATAAAAAATAAATTTGAGAAATTAAATATAAAGAAATGTTAAAATCCAACTAATTATTTCACTGTGTTTCATATAGCAAAACCAAGAAAAAAAAAATTAAAATTAAAAAAATAAAAATTAAATACAAAGTAAAAAAAAAAAAAAAATAAAAAAAAATAAAAAAAATAAAAAAGTTCAGTTCATTCAAATGGCTGAAATGAAAATTAACTCCCCTTCTTAGAGGGTAGCACCATGCTATAATTTATATTATATAGTGCAAAAGAATTAGCTGAATGCAACAACGTCACTACACTTTAACTACTCTAGATTTGAGGTTGACGCAAGCATTTATAGCCAAGAGTGCCCTGCAAAAACCAACCATAGAATAGAAAGCAATGAGCAGCCATACAAAGGAGGCACATGGGAGAAGAAACATTACATAAGCAAAACTACATAGAAAAATATTTGAAGAAATTTTTCCCCTTGAAATTTATTAAAAACCATCAGCCTCAAATTAAATTTCAACAGATTATCTGCATTAACATGATGGCATATTGGACTAAAATTTGTTACTTGCATATATAATGTTCTTGGATATGGGCCATGAGCCCCACCAGTTATTTTCTATTTTTGAAATAAACTATTTGGGAATAGAGAAAGTGGTGCAAATAAGGCTCAATAATCAATTTTGATATTGTTCTTTTCATAAAACAAAACAACTAAGAATTGAAAGAATTATAAAAAATATATTCAGGAGGTTTACCCAGATTCTCAGCAACACTAGCATATCTTGTGTGTATGTTCTAATAAAGTGTATACTAATAAAATAACCTTACACAGGTATACTGAAAATGAATTGGTGGGGTGGGAAAAATGTTAGACTATGCAAATTAAAGATGAAAAAAACCTATGGTTTTCAAAGTTATTAAAAACGTTAGAGGCTAAAGTTTAAAATTTCTTCAAATAATTTTATTTTAGAGATGGAAAGAAATTTGAGAAAAATTGGTTCAAGATGGAAGAAGAAGAATAAAAGAAAAAGAGACCCTCCCATAAATTTAAGATAAAAATATACAGACAGTTTCTTTCATCTTTGTTAAATTTACAAAATGTAAAAAATAAAGTTATTCTATTAGGCAAATTTTTTAAAGTATTTCATACAGCTTATACCAAATTAACCAACAGATCTAACAGGCTAAATATATTGTACCAAATCGAAGAACTAATGTTTATAACTATCTTCTTTAGTATGATTAAAAGCAATTTACATTTCTTTCATCTAAATAATTGATGATATATATCAGACTGTGTGTGGTACGTGTGTGCGTGTGTCCACATGTGGCTAGCAAGGTTTGTCTGTTCTATAGTACAGGTTGTTATTTTGCATATCCACAGAAATGCAAAATATAACATGGTCTCCTTATCTGGCTATTGGTAATTAATTAAAAAAAAAAAAAAAATATTAAAACTACATTCTTTGGTCTTTGTTGCAGACATGCAAGGGTACCCCTGAACTACTTCTTCATGTAATAGGGCAGAATTGATCTGTTCCCTAGATCAAGAATACTTTTTTGTGCTCTCTCTTCTAGCAAGAATTCATTTTATAGATATTAGATAAGTTTTGCACAAAGCCAAATGGAGAGAAGTGAGTAAGATTACATTGAGCTAATTTTGCAGATGTAGAACGCCTGCTTGCCTTGACAATTAGCATTTAAAATCCTGATTTTTACTTGGACCCAATACTTGCCACTGGATCTGGTAGGAAATATGCTAGCATTTATCCCACCAAGCAGGCCAATTTTCTTGTTTGATCATAGTTTCTATTTTAAATCTTAGAGGGAAAAATAAAATTCCTTATATAACGAAAAAAAAAAAATCAGTAAATATACTATTTAATCTACCTAAGCATTAATGGTTTTGATTCTACTAAATAGGTTATTTGAAATTTGTTATATTTTACATACATTGGTTCTAACAGTAGACCATAACAAAATAAAATTAAATGAACTGTCCAAATGAAAGAAGAATATTTAACTATCCACCATTTTTCATCTAATAGCTATGTTAGATAGCTGAATTTATATATCAGATTGTGCACCAATCCCATTATGAACTACCACCATCACCACTGTTACAACTACTAAATCACTAAGAAAGGCTCAGCATTAGTACTGATACTTGTGAGAGATATGTAATTTATTTTGCATTACAAAGGATATTAGTGTTTTCAAAAAAAAAAAGAAAAAAAAAAGTTTTGTTTTTTTTTTTAAATGAAAGGGAAGGGTTACAGAAAAAGAGGGAATATATATGTATGTATATATTAAAAAAAAATTAAGAAAGCATGCATTGTTAAATTAAAAAAAATTACTGCAAAAGCTGTCTTTTTTTACTAGGACTAATTCAAAAACTACTAAGTTTTCTAACTAATGAGAGCTGCTGCTTGCTGTATCGTCACCAGCATGAACCAGCCACTAATAACTATCTCAGACTGCTGCTAGGAGGTCACTAATATATAGTAGTAATATAGGATATGGGGTTTATTGACCTGAGTCTTGTTTGCTTTTCATTTTAGTGGTGTGGCCTCCTGGGTACCTGAACCTCTGCACATGTGGGTTAGGAGGAGGAGGAGAAGAGAGCATGTACAATGATGGGTAGTAAACCAATGACCAGTGAAGACGACAGGAAACACTCAGCTTGAAGGTTATCTGAAAAGAAATGGCCTTGCAAAGTTCAGCATTTACAACTCCACCAAAAGATTTTTTTTGGTAATTTTCTCAAAAACTTTAACCCTACCACCCACTTATTACAGCCATCTAAGAAAAAAAATAAAATAAAAAAATGTTTTTTTAGCCATAATCATCTCACTTTAAATTGTCCTCTCTCCTTTTAAAAGAATTGTGAACAAAGATATTGGAAAGGCCTCTTTAGAACAATAATAGTTTCTTCAAAATCTACTTAGCAGGAACCCCATTTTCTTTTTAACATCACTACTCATAAAATATATCAAAATTAACTTGTGCAGGATTGTGGTTCTTCAGAGACACCACAACTGATTTTAAGGTATAATGCTAAGTTTTGTTAATTTTTAATTATTTTCAATAGTAAAATTAATCTGAAAACAAAAAAGGCAGCCTATTATACATTTTTCAGATTAGTACTTTTGTTTTTAAATTTCAGCTGACATATTTTTCAGCTTTCCTCAAGTATATATTGCATCTGTCAGTCTTTTGATGGAACTTATACCTGTAGAAGGCTGAAGAACACATCTAACATATTAACAAAAAAATGTCTGGAAGAAACTTCAGAAAGCAGTTTATAAAATGTCAAAACTGATTATAACTATCCACCTTATACTAGTTTGATAGATAACAAATGAATTACTTCCCCTTGTATCAAAATAAATTTCCTAAAAAACCTGAAAGCATCAGCAATGTGATTAGGGGGAAAAAATTTTGGAGAATAAAAATCATTTAATCATAAATTTACCTAGATTTTTAAAAAAAAGTAGCAATGAAGATGTACCAAAACAAATATATAAAATAGATATTAAAATTACTTTAGTCCATTTTTTTCTATTAAAACTTTTTTCTATATCTTTGATGAAAACACATGCACAAACTTCCTGCACCTTATTTGTAGCCAGCTGTATTTTTATACTTATCTGATGATAGATATTACTTGAATTTAATGTTCAATTTACAGAGGTAGGTCAGTGTAAGAGTACAATGAGCTAATGTACTTTTTTGTAAGGTTTGAATTCTTTCTCCAAGATTTATGTACTTTATTTTAAATTAAATGCTTAATGACTCTCTTTCTAATGCCTTATTTATCTATTAAAATAGACCCAAGATGAGCTGTGAAGCACTTAACATTTCCTTTTGAACTGGTAAATATTATATAAATCCATTTTGAAAACCTCCACAAAATTGGCTAGAATATTTTAGCTTACATTCTAACAAGTCTAAGATAAGAGATAGAGAAAAAATAGTCCAATGAAAGTTAAAAAAAAACAAAAAAAAAAACACTTAGTTCACTGCACCCAATTGGATACAATGCAAAAAAAATAAGTTATTTTTAAAAGTTATCCTCACCATTCATTTATTTAGTTTCCTAATATAAGATGTAAAATACATTTGTTACCAATTATTGACTGTCTTTTTTTTCTGATGACAACATGGCAGACAGCATAAATTTGAATGTACACTGGATTTTAATAGTGGGAAAAAGAATTAAATAAAGAAAAAGAAAAACTAGGTTTGGAAAAGGGATTTTTTTTTCTTTAGCAAGGTAAAAAAAAAAAAAAAAAAAAAATTAATAAAAAAATAACAAACCAAACAAAAAGATCTAGATAATAATGAAATGAAAAAAATGTAAAAAAAAATAATTAAAATTAAAAAAAAATTTTTTTTAGAAATTAAAAAAAAAAAAAAAAAAAAAAAAACAGCACAAAAGACTTTGTTATTTAAAAAAGTTCATTAAAAATGAAAAGGAGGGAGCATTTTCAATTTTCAAGTCGAGAAGGAAAAATAGATGAAGCAAACATGCAAATAAAATAAAAATAAAAAGAAAAAGAAAAAAATTGCATTCAATACAGCACTGCAATATGGCACTAATCAATGAATAAATTTTTGATTTCTTTAGAAAGAGACAGACTGGTGGGCTTTAAATACCAAGATAGAAAGTGAATCTGCTTATAGCACCAAACAAATGCAGCATTTGTGGAGCCACAAGACAGTGAATGCAAGACTTGAAGGGAGATTTGTTAAGTCTTTCTGAAAAAAATGGAAGTTGATGTTAACATTTCAAAGTTAACATCAAAAAGACCCAAACAATTGATGTGGGGAATGAAAAGCAAACATATACATGCATTTCTACTTTATCTGTTTAAGAGTATATAAATATGTAATTAGATATAAGAGCTAAATTGAAAAGTGGTTTTATGGTAGGGGAAGGCAAATAATAATATAAATGATATTTATGAGTATTGACAGATTGAAATATTAAGAAATTAAAAGTTTATGATGTAGAAATCAGAAACTTTAAACAAACATAAATGCAGGATGCCACTCAAATTTGCTATATGCTTAAAGATAAAATATTATTTAACTTCAATGGAAGTAATTTGACGATAGCAGTTTAAGATTGTAGAGGTATTCTTAAAAGAACTTTAAACAGTTCTTCCATATCCATATACCTAATATATTGCATATAATTTATGCAACAGACTACAAATAAATCACTGTTAGAGGATTTTAATTTTATCCCAGTTCCCTACTGAGAATTATAGCTAAAATAGGTGAAAATTTCATATGGTCACATATATGGGAAGAAATTTCAGTAAAATTTATGGCACTCTAAAACTAGAAAACCTCTTTTCCAGAGACTCACTTAATTTTGAAATACATAGGTGTAACCAAAATAAATAAAATATTGACCAGTATTCCATAGAAGTTGCATACTACTACCATGGTCAGCTGCTCAGTGTCATGCTTTTTCTTGATTTTCAAGCATGTCCCTTAAGATCAACATATTCATTATAACTTCTATCAGCTAAAAAAAAGAAATAAAAAGGAAAAAAAGAAAGCCGTTTTACATATAAAGAAAATTTAAATTTAACTTTTCCAACCAAATATGAAAAATACACACACACACACATATATATATATATATATATATATATATATATATATATATATATATGTGTGTGTGTGTGTGTGTATATATATATATATATATATATATATATATATGAGAGAGGAAAACTAAAACATACAACTCTTCAACAATTTAGACTGAAATAGAGCACAAGGTAGAAATTTCCATCCTCACTGAATATGCTACTTCTTTGGTCTGGGGAGGAGGAGAGATACATACAGTCCAAAGTGAGAGATAAAGAAAATGACAGTTCTGAGAAAGGAGGACAAGATATAGAGAGAAAGGATAACTTTACAAATAATATAGAAAAAAGTGAATGATGATGCATGAAGCTTCATGTGCAGATAGTGCACGGCTGAAAAAGAGGAAGAGGGAACCATTTTTAGAAATGTGAACTAGTTCTGCTGAATATATTGGAAGGAAATGTTAATGAAACAGTCAAATTGTAGTACACTTGCACATAGTATCCACAGAATATAAGCAAGTATCCGGTTAGATAGCTAAAACTGAGTTGATAATCTGATGCCCTGAAGCATTTTTTGACTGTAACTTTCCATTTTAGCAGGTTTAAAAATAGTGCACCTTGTGACAGCAAAACAGAGAAATAAGAAATTAATGAACAAAGTGGAGAATGTGAAGATTCATAGCTGAAAAGTAAAAGGGAATGAATATGTGAGCATTTAACAAGGTTGATGGATTGATTAAAGCTTTGCTTCTGACTTAAAAATATACAAATAAAAAGTTATATATAATAAAAACAGAAAAGCCATGATTTTATAACTAGATAACAAAAATAGCTTCTAGTAGATTGGTGCTAGATGATCTAAAGAGAACCCTTTTCTTCTCATCAGGACATAAGGAAATATTAACACCAATTAGATGTGGTACATGTATTTCAAAAGCATTTTGAAAATTTGCTTGACCCTGATGAAAAAAAATTTTTTTTCCATATTGGCCTTTGGTGACGTATTGAGCTGGAACAAAAGTTCATAGGGAATTTTAAAGTGAATTTCAAATACAGTATTTACATATGTGTACTTAGATTTATTCAACCACATATACCATTTTGTTCCACTCCATTTTGTCATTTTTCAGGTAGTTTTAAGTGTTCACCTTCCCAGAACATGATAAATGTATTTTTTGTAGGTTTTCAGAGAAGTGAAGTTTGTCCCATTAAGAGAATTATTATAGGAATCAAAATAAGTGGTAATCCAATAGTGCAGGGTTTAGAGTATGGCAAGTGTAGTAGATGTCCCAGCCAAGCTGTACCAATTTCTGCTGTGTTTGCAAAGAGACAAGGCTCAGATGAAAATCAGTTTTTGAGTGCTTAATAGTGGTTAATTTTGTTTTCCCAAATACCTTTCTCACTTCACATGTGATTGTTCTTTCTCATTTGAGCATAGAATGACAAATGGAAATAAACACAGTTCATAAAACGGCTTCCATGATGCACCCAAGCATAGTAGCACTCATGTGTCCAAGTATTTTCAAATACAAGCATGTTTTATCACCTGGCTTACTTTTGCCATTTTAATTTGGTCACCATCTTTGACTGCAGGTCTGCTGAAATGTTTTAGGCCTTCCAGAGGAAATTTTCCACTTGTGAACTTACAAACATTACTCGCAACCATGGCACCATCTCCACATAAATGACATCCTTTTGATGTTTGTACAGTTTTCCTTTTCAGAAATAAAAGATCATCAAATAACCAAAGTGCATCTCAGTTTCCTTCATTTTTACTTTTAAAATAAAAGCATTTAAAATTCACAATTCCTACATGAATCATATAGAAAGAGATGTTGAAACTTTCAGAAGATGCATCCATGTCAAATTTCATTCATGTATGAAATGAAATTGCATATTCCAACACCACCTATTGAAAAATGCTACAAACTTTAATTCTAAATCAGTAAATATACACCATAAATTGTCCCCTTCCTTGGGCATGCGCAAGTTTATATATATATATACACACACACACACACAATTTTTCCACTAGTGTCAATGATTTGTGTTTGAATTTAAGTAAAGGCAAGAATTTAACTTTTA